CGCGCCGAGCAGCAGCGCCGCGAAGAAGGCGCCGCGGCAGCGCCGCCGCCCCCGCCCCGGGCCGCCCTCCATGGGGAGCCGGCGCCGCCGCCCCGCCCCTCCCGGGGGCCACGCCCGCGCCACACCCGAGGCCCCGCCCACGCGCGCCTGCGGGCCGCCCCCGGGAGGACACGCCCCCGCGCGTCACAGAGCGGAGGGAGGGGAGCCGTCCCGGCCACGTGCGCCGGGTGGCTGGAGGGGGAGAGGGGTGGGCCTCTCCTGCGAGCCCCTAAGGTCACAGGCCGGGTCCAGCGCCGCGCACGCGCCGTGGCGAGCCAGGCGCCCGGGAAACCCCTCGCCGGAGGGGCGCAAGACCGGCGCCCGCCCGCCCGCCCGCTGCTCTGAGGGCAGGGCGGTAGAAAGGGGCGCAGGATGCCCGCGACGGGGTCAGGCGGCGTGGCTGGGCGGAGCGGTGTCCGCCTGGGGCTCCGGAGCCCTTGGGTCGGCGGCAGCCCTCCGCCTGAGCTGCCTGGCAGCCTTGTTGCGGGGACGAAGAGCAGTCTGTACACTCGCTTGGGTTCCCTACCGGACGACGAACGGAGGGACTCGGATATAATGCAGTAATAATAGTTCATAGCGTACTTAAAGCTTCGTGGCTGATTTCAGGCCAAGTCTCCCGGTTACACACCTATGCATGCTTTACTTAAAAGAACCACGTTCACAAGAAAACTTGTAAATTAGTGTATATAATTTCAGTTCCTGGCTCCAGTTTCTTCCATTGGACTCCATGGGCTGCAAATCAATCTAATGAAGTAACATTGACGGTTAGGGATTTCTGACTCCTGGAGGGGTCCCTGTAAAGCCAGCTGGTAGCATACAAATGTCTTTTCAAAACTGGCATTCCTGCCAATACTTCCTTGGGAATAAATTGCATTAAACACTGCAGAGAGCTGAGGCTGGAGATTGTTTCTGAATAAACATGCTGTAGAACAGCTGCAGTCCTATATAGATCTCGTGAGATGCTTACTTGAACAATCCTTTTTGTGTTCTGTGTGTTGCATGTGAAAGCTGCCATTATTCTGCTTAACTCATGGTCGCTGCTATTCAGCCACAAAAGTTATTTTTATGTGGCTTGCATCGTACTAGAATTCCATTAAATTTCCACATGAATTCCAAAACAGGCAACAAAGTCCAGCTGAATCCATTTTTTTTGGGGGGGGGGGAATGTATTTCTGCCTCATTAAGAAAAACAGTGACTTGAAGCATTTTAAAGACTAACATATTTATTGCATACAAAAAGCAAAGCCAGCAGTGTTGGCCACAAGAAAAAACTCCCCCCAAAATCCATACAGCACTATACCTTTACTATGTCCACTCAAGAGAGAGGAAATTGCAAGCTTTTGTGCAACCTAGAACAGGCAAAATGTCGTGAAAAGGCAGACTGGCACCAATTTGCTTTTAGTTGAAGAGGAATGAAGATTTATTTCAGCCAAGTAACATGTACAGAAATTAAGCAGGA